AAATCGTCGGAAACAACGGCCGAACTGCCTTGTCTCTGGTTTTGGGTGTTGACCGGGGATATCGCTGATTGGAAATAACACGAAAAGTCCTGAAGTAGCAGCTGCTTACCCCTACTACTTGCGTACTCATCTTCCTGGGCCTCATGCTCGAAGTCAGTTAAGTAAGAGACAACAGTAGTCGTAAAAGTGCTGGATGCTTGACAAAGTCCGTCCAGAAGATGGGGAATCAAATGCATCGGGCTATAGAACATTATCACCCCTCAGGGTGTCATGCCTTTGGAAATCAGAGTTGTCATAAAATTACTTACCGGCCGAAAAATAAGGACAGTTCGCTAAATAAACCAAACAGCCAAACTTTGACCTGCGTTTTAGAAAAAGGCCCAAGTGAAGCTAAAATGTCAAATTTTCTAGATTTAAAAGACTTATAAATTCGAATTAGCTTTTTTTAGGGAACGGGCAAAAGTGGTTCTCTAGAGACAAGAGTCAACTGAACATCTTAAAACAGCACTTAAGTAAAAATCGATCTACAAACTGGGTACGTGCAATTATAAGGATAAACACTTAGCCAAAATTCAGGATACTGCGGACTAACCCGCTATTCTACCAAATAAAAGGTTAGCAGAAATTAATGAATAGACGAACAAGAATACTGGGAAAAGAAAATGAAGAACAAGTGAAGAAAAAATGTCAACATGGAAATGTCAACGCCTCCGTCGGCCAAGCCTGGCTAAGGCATTTTAACGTGTTATAATTGAACGTGGTAATGAAATCTTGTAGTCTCCTACTCAGTGAAATAACTTAATCAAGCTGGGTTAAAGGTGCATTTTAGTTCGCATTACTTAAAACACGTGCTTTATTACTAGATCAGACCAGACCAGGTTGCATATGAGAAAAGTTTGCCAACTTGGCCAAGGATATATATTTCAGGCACTAAAGTAATCATGGTATGTTAGTCGGGCAATATTAGTTCAGCATTCACAATGCGAAGACTAATTTTGGTTTAAAGAGGTTGACAATCCCTAATACTGATGTGGGAGAAGTACGCCATTAAGGTGAATTTTCGTCGTAATGGCGCCGTAATTGCTGTGAGTTGTCATTAAGAAAATATGTAGGGCTTGGATATAGAACATTCGAATCAAAAACCACATATATAAGCGTACCCGAAGAATATTGGAAGAGAGAGTCCCACGGCCGGGTCCAAATTCCACGATGTCGAATGGTGTCTGTGTTCGGAATCGCATTCGTTCATTAACTATCCAAATGCCCAAGAGCTGACATAAGCACACATAGTCATACCTCACCGAAGATCTGGCATATTTCGGGTGATGTAATAAAATCACCATCAGGACCAATGACATCCGAATTCTTATAATAGCCCTTATTTTGGCAAAGGTAAGTTAAAATAAAACAATTTACGTAAATCGGGTGATGAAGGGCCAACTTCATATAGTCTGCAACGCTTATTGGACCAGAAGATCGTATTTTTCGGCATATAAAAGACATAAAATCAGGTTTAGATTGTGCAATGGAGCTAGTGCATGTCCTGAAAATCTTGTTATTTAGAAAAGTGAACGGCGACAATAGGCGCATCGTGAAAATGAGGGCTATCGCACAGGACGGACGCCAGTGGGTCACCAAGTTCAATTTGGTGCCGGAAATGTGTGCAAGGCCCCTGTTCATTTTAGGTCAGTATGTGTGCACTATCGAAATCCCCCTTTGTTTGCAAGCAGCATAAATATATCAAAAGTAGAAAATTTTAGCATATAACTTTATACATAAAAGTTCAGGTCTGTACAGACAGATAAAGCATCTCTAGTGTAAGCCGCACGTTTTCATATCGGATAAGTGAAAGGGTTTGCATTCCGAGGTAATATAATGAAAAGAAAGAAGACATTTGGAAAATCGAATTATAATCGTGAAATTTTAAGCATATAACACTGGACCGTTGTCAGGCGAACTGAACTGTGGTGTTGGCGATTGCCGCACCAGAACTTTTGGTGGGGGGAAGGGGAGACAGGCAGACAGATATCCATGGCAGAAGAAGAATAAATGTGTTATGGTTGGTGTTGACGATGAGCAGATCGTTGTTCAATGTCAGCTAGTGGTTCACGTGTCGGGAGATGCCGCGTGAGTCACTTTATTAAGGGAAGAAGGCTTTCGCCCTTAATTGAAGTTCTATTCAGCCAGCTATTAATAAATGACTGTTGCCTTAAAGCCGGTGATAATTAGTGAATGCTGGTCGTGCTGAAGTGCCAGGCTTCGAGTTATTCTCGCGCTTACTTCGTGTTAGCCATGACGATGACCTTAGTGCTTTCCCAATTGAAGCGGTAGTCACACTCAAGGGAGGACGCAAATACGAGCGATATGAGGTCCATCGGCGAACGGCTGACGCATTTTCGTTGATGCGCGTCCCAAGACGTCGGCCTGTGTGACCAACGCAAACACTGGCGTACGGCAGGCGATAAACAACGCTGCTCATTTTTCCTTTGGTAGGGGATCCTTTACTCGACATAGGGTTGCGCATAGAGAAGATACGGGCCTGTGGGGAATAAAGATGCCGAAGCGACTTCTTCGCCGAGAGATTTGTTTGGAAATTCCTTTCACGTAAGAGAGGTAATAAAATTTCCGTGACACTATACTTCTATTAGGAAGAAGATTTTGTGCTTGTTCTGAAATATGAGGCAATTTTTACGAAGCTGGATGGACACCCATTGGACCTTTTCTGCGACTGCCAAGTTGCTGGACTTCACTTGACTGTCCGCCACATGCCAACTCATCTCAATTTCACCTGCAATCCTTGCGCGCCGACGCTGCCCACCTCAAGTTCGAGCCAATACCACGATTCTTGGCACTGGCCCCGTGAGACCTCCAGCCAAACAGACTGCAACGTTTTCTGATTGGCTACATGAACGAAAATGCGCTGGGTTTCCGGCGATCCCTACGCTCTCGTCGCTTCAGATGCGGCGCTGTGGCCAGCGATTGCTCGCTCGTTTGACAATTAAATTCCCCCTGCCTATGCTCAACTTCCTTCTGTGCAGAATAAACTGTCCCTACCACTCTGAGCTCCCATTCCCTCAACCAACCGCTTTGAAGTGGCTTTATTCTGCTACGTTTTACATTTATAAAGTGAGGGTTCGCTAAACTCTGACCCCACATTCATGGTAGTAGTAGTTTTTCGCTGCTTTCCCCTCAGTTAAACATATTTTTCATATAGTGTTGACTGTTATTTTAACATGACGATGGCGGGCATGAAATTATCTGCCTAATTTACTACACACTTCTGATGTTTATGTGGTTGCTCACACAGCAGAAATTATCCACTTTGTACTTATTTTAGCAACAGCGCTGATTCTGTAATGCTGAGTGCCTCCGGGCCTCAAATATGAAAATTTACTTATTCATGTATTACTTATTTTCCTCCAATGAACTGAGCCTAAAGATCGCAGTTACTAGAGTTTAACTTACTTAATCCAGTGCGACATTACTTATGTTTCGTGTTTCTTGACTTTTCCGACTCTGTCTCCAGCAGTAACGCGTACGTCAAACAATGAAGATAACAAGTTTCAATGTTATTCAATACTATTAAACAACAATGGACACAGGCATTCAAAAATAAGAGAATCGGCTAAATCACCTTACTCTAGACAAAGGAACGACATACTTTCAACTACGCTACGCAGGACGAAGCCAGTCTAGGGAGAGCATGTGCGTGAGTGGGAGAGGGAGCGACTGCTGCTTTTATGTGACTTCAGGGATCATTTCGTGTGGCATCCGATTGGTTTGAGGCATTAACGTGAAAGGGGGGTTGGCTAAATTGGTCCTTCGATGGCCGCGACTATCTCGCGTGCATGTGAGCCCGCGGCGGGTTGATGCCCTTTAAGCGCAAGCGTCTATCAGCGCATTTGAAAGTGGATTAAGCGTTTTTTGAGGGTACCGAGTTAGTGACAAATAAAGAGGAGGAGAACACCATTGTCGTTTATCATCCACAAAGTCATTCATGGTTCTTCATCTCAGCGAGTCCGAAGAGTTGTCTACTGAGGCAGCGGTGGGCCGATAGCATTGTGAGAAACATGATTAAAAGCAAAAAGTCTTAATGAGGCTGAAGGATGGTTTTGACAGTCGTGTGGAATCGAGTGAAAAGGGCCACGGGGAGGATGGCAGCATGCTTTAAGGAAGGGGGCGATTTTCGGAGGAGGAGAACGATGGTACGTTGGTCAGACAGGAATTTTCACTGGAGGGACGTCGAGATTTTCAAACTTTTTCAACCGGAAACAACAGGTGACTTTCCGAAGTGATCTGCACTCGCAGCTGTGGAAGCCTGTGCTCACTACTGCTGCACTGACTCGTCCTCTCTTCGCTCTGGCAATGATCGTACCCGAGCGTAATCATCTACTTTACACACTATCGGCCTCTTCCTCGTTATCGGTCAACTCGCCGCTTCATAACCGCCTACACTTCATGCCAATCGATACGCCTTGCTT